CCTTTGGAGAGCAACTTGTAAAAGAATTATTCATTCTCTCTGTGCATACATTTTGAGAATAATTCACTGTACTTTTCCAAATTATTTTCAAAGTGTACACTCACAGGAAAGGATACAAAACTTTTCCCAGGCTACATTTGAAAGCTTGTCAGCACTCAGAGCTAAGGCCTTTAATCCCAGGCTTTAAATAATTTAGGTAACACTTGATTACTCCATTGCTGGAACGTCAAGCTCTGCAAAATCTGAGTAACACAATATTTGAGGGGAAAAGAGAGAATACTCTACTATAAGCACTTAAGTAAAACACATTTCCTGCAAACAAAACGTGAACTGCAGCCTGGTGTTTGCAATGCAAACTGTGGTAAAGCACCACTGAGGCTACCCCCCGACTAACACTTTATTCTGGTTTCCACTAACAAAACCCTTTAGTGAGGAGCTCTGTGGAGCACTAGTCACAGTTTACACGCTACAAAGTACGATATTCAGAGGGCTTAAGGAAGAACTTTTCCTTAGGCTCATACTGTTTAATGATGTACCCTAGCTAAAATGTGAACATTGATTTCAGATGAACAAAAAAGCCCACCCCCCATCACACACACACACACACACACACACACACACACACACACGATTTAGTCAGCAAAAAATTAAAAGAAGTTTTTACCTTTCTTGTGGACTAATTTTTTTCTTGAGAGAACAATTTCATTTTCTCAGGTAATCCACGTGGGATTCAATATTTGCTGTCTCTAGGCATTTGTTAAATAAAAAATAGTACAAATTGCTTTGTTCTCTTAGGTACATCTGCACTTATACTATTAACAAAGTCTGAACTATCTCAATTTTTCAGTCATGTTCTCCACTCAAAAAATAGTTTTAGAGAACAAACTAAACTTCTCCATACAAAGTTATTTAGTTAATTTTCATGGGGTAAAAGGCATGAACATCATAATGTGGGCTGTGTGACAATCTATGCATATTTTGTTACATAGAAACACCAACTTACTTAAGAATAATTAAACATCCTAAAAAATTATCAGAAGGCAACAAAGAAGAAAAATTAAAAAACAACCCGCCTCCCCCTGCGAATTAAATTATCACTTATTAGGTCCTTTAAGATCCTTTTTCACCGCTGCCTTTGAATCCTTTTTGCATAGAGGAATCAAAAGTTTTTCTCTTACATCTATCAGTTCCTTTTCACTCCAAAGCTCACTGTTTAGCCCTTTACAATATATAGTGCTAGAAAATCAGGATCAACAACAACAAGCCCACGATTGCCCTCAGTAGAGTCAATAAATGGCACATTTGGCTCTCTCTCATACCATTTTGAACCAAGTCCTCACACAACTACTGCCCTGACACCTCATCCATCAGCTCTTATAGCGCAAGAGCAGTGCCCCACAAGCAAACCTCTTCTCTCTTATGCCATCTCCAGAGTTGAGGCCCAGATCAGAAACAGCCTTATCTTCCAATATAGCAAGAATACACCTCTAAGATCAGACCTTGGCAATTTGACCTAAAGCCATCCTTACTTGCAAAACAAAGTCTCCATCATCTTCAGAGCAAGAAGGAAAGAGAGTGAGAGGGAAAACAGAGGTGGGGGTAGGGGGGAAAGTCCAGTCCTCTCTGACCTGATTGGAAACTTTGTTGTGGCAAAAAGAAAAAAAAAATTCTCTTTGGCCAGTTGAGAAAGTGCCTATGGTTGCTCTTGTATTGGGAAGGTCTGTTCAGGGTTTCTCAATCTTCTTTTCTCTCTCTCTCCCCCCCTCTCTTTCTCCCCTTCTCTTGTTTCAAAAGGGGCCTCTGGTCAGCGCTGATTAATAAGTGTTTTTTGTTGTGAAGTGTTGAATAATAGAAGATGGCCAGTGACCCAGGAAAGACTAAACCTTGTGCTACTTTATTGTGGCAAGCTGAGAAAGGGGCTTTAGGACAGAGACCCCAAGCACTGACCCGCACACATCCTGCGGATTCCCTATTCATTCTCACAGCCTTCCAGTCGCCCAGAGCTCCCATTGTTTGCCAAGCAACAATGGAGATTTTGCACAGAAAGTAAAGCTCTCTTCAGATTCCTCCCTGATGTTTTGCATTTGGGGATACAACCATCCTTAACACGTTTTTTTTCCCTGAACTGAATTTCATGAAAACTCCTAAGATTTGGGCTTTTATTCTCATTGCTCAAGACTTTGTATACAAACCTAAAAAACCAAATATTTTCTGTTAATAAATACTTTCTTTTATTTATTTAATTACACAACACATTTTTCCTGGGGTACGGATTCCCTAGCGATTTAAGGGGAAACATGAGGTTTATTTTATTTTATTTCTTAGCATATCACTATGCTTTAATGCACACTACATATCGCTGCAGTTCCTAAAAATAACTGTATTCAAGCATCCGCTTTTTTGAGTGGGAGCCAACTGGAGAGTGCTGCTCCTTTCCAAAAAAAAAAAAAAAAAAAAAAAAAAAAAAAATTTCTGCCCTGATTAGGCAAGCCTAGCTTTTATCTCCTCACAGACTGGCCCGTTCCCCACGCTCCAAACAAAGAGTTCATCCGCCTCCACCAAGGATGGCAAATGGCACTCCATAGACTTGCTCTGATTTACCTGTAGGGCCCAAACCACATTTCTCATTCTAATGTAGGTGTTTATTTGCACTCTAACCATGTGGATAAATAACTTTTGCAGCTGTCAAGCCTTTGGGTAGGAGCCTGGCTAGGTATATCAGAGGCCTCAGGATCACAGAGTTTTGTTTAATTGCTTTCTCTGGCCTGTTATACACAGATTTCCATTCCTCTATGGCATCCACTTACACATGTCACCAAGCGGCTAGGAGGTTTGAGTGTTTGGTTGTGCCTTGTGTTTGCAGGTTTTGTGTCTTGTTGTGAATTTACTAGGCTAAAAAAAAAAAAAAAAAAAAAAAAAAAAAT